AATCCCACCATTACTCAAGAACGGCTTTTTTTAATCATGTGGGAAGTTATTTCATTTAAACTCTTTTGATCGAACAAATGAACCGAACGGTAAGTACAGGTCAGCACAGAACAATACGTTTATAAAAAATAATGAATCAGACGGCGCTGGTGTCGTTGGGTGGTGCTTCACTATACACAAAGCCCAAACATCTCCCCCAGTTCCCCTAGGGTAAGCCTTAGGGACACCATTTTCATTTCCCCGAAGTGTCTTCCCTCCTCCTGGGCTTAGTTCACACAAGGATGCCCCACTTGACTACTCAGCAGAGCCAGTCAGAGATTAGCTGGGACGTCATCCTGTGTCCATGTGACGGCTTGCAGTGGTGTGTCTGAGTCCTCTCGTCTAACGTACCCTCTCACCTGATGCCCCTCTCAATGCTCAGTATCTCTCCGTCGCTCCGCTTTCCGCTTAACAAAAGGGGCCTAACATTTTACGGTTTCGGCGCTGTCCTGTCTTTTTTTTCACGGACGATCAACTTAATTTTTTTAACAATAACTTCGTTTACGACATAGGATTAAATGTGGGTCAGCCCGCAAACGGACGTATAGGACTTAGACCAGAACAGAAGTCTCAGATACTCTGAAAAATAGAACCTGCCGACCAATATCGATCGTGGGGTCAGCCTTAGCTCGAAATGGGCATAATATGTATGTCGTACGCTCATACGCAAAGTTATCGGCTTTTCAAAAGAATTACGCCATTCCTGTCTACCGACTTCCTCTCAACGCACTCGAGAGCAGCCAAGTATCTTATATCTTATAGATATACTGCTAAAACTATCGGGTGGGAACATAATATCGTTACCCTTGCATTTTTCATTTTTGCTCGCAAGTGTTCAAAGCAAACAATAAAAGCGTAAAACTAATCAGTGATGTCAATTCAAATCTCTCATTTTTTAAGACTGAAATTGCGTTTTGAAGGAAATCAGTAGGCTTAGAAAAAAGATATTGAGCTCGTTTTTGAAGTCCTCATTGCTATCAACTTGCACGGCATAAATATGGTTTTATTTTCAGCGAAAGGGTACGATCGGTTGAGGCGAGGTTCAGTGAAAACAATGGATTCTAAAGAAGTTCCGTTTTGAACTTTTTTCCTCATGTAAATCGAAGAGTAGCAGCTAGGAAATGTCGATTTCTGCCGTCTGGATTTCCCAAATTTTAAGCATTATATCTGATTACAGCTATGATTTTAAAAAAATGACCAAAAAGGTTTTCAGAGCGAAAAAAGTACTTTCGAATAGAATCCGCAGTTTTCCGAGTGATGCTTTCACTGATTGAATGTATACGCTCGAAAGAAAACGCTACGATAGTATGGTCCAACCCAGTAGTTGTTGCGTTAAACATAAACATAAACAAAAGCAATGTGTATAAACGGCAGAAACGAAGGTAATATAAGGGTGGAATCATTCCCTGTAGGT